AAAGAATGTAAAACATCAGAAACTTACATTCGCGTCCAACAAAGTTCTTTGCACGCATTGCATTCACAAAGACGAAATCGGAATAGGGTGTGCGCTCCAGTACTACACCCTGACCTGAAAAAATAGTTTTACTTCATCGTACATCTTCCTACCTAGTCAACGACACTATGCAACCGCCATTGGTTGAAGCGATAAAAGATATATGGTAAACACCGGTTCACCATATGTATACTACAGTGCATACCAAAAATTTAAATTTTGTCAACGCAGAAAAATTGAAGTTCACACTGTGAAAATTATTTTGTAGGTACATCAGGAACAGAGGATAACACCGCATGCGAAGCGCGAAGTACTGTGTTGTTGCTGGCTACGGCCAGAGAGGTAACTTTACATGAAGAGAACTCAAGTAGTTTTTGACTAAGCATAACTAAGACATCTAACCAAAAAAGCGAAAAAAAGCGCAGTGATCTGGAAGAATTACCTTAAATTTAAGTCGCCATGCAATAAAACCAAAGGTATATCGACATATGTAATCGAAAAGTTACGTGTTTTGCAGAAAGACCAACATAAATAAGCACAACAGACAAACAGTGTGAGCATAGCATCCACATACCTGTGTTCAATATGTGTGCTACAGCATTGAGGTACTGATCAAAGCGACACTCAAAAATCCGCTGCTGCATTTTTGCAGACATGTCGCTCAATGGATTTTTGTAAAACATCTTCAGATCGGGCATCCGGAAACTTTCTGGGAACTGAAAGATAGAGAAGCATCAATGTCCACTATCATAGGGGAAAACTTATTACCAGGTGGTAAAAATCCCTAAGATCATTTCCATAACGATCGATCAGTATATCCTCCATCTTGAATTCCGGCATGTAATAGAATCCAAGCTGATCAGCTAACTCTTTCGAAAGTTTGCTCTATAACATGCGTATACAGTTACAAGAACTTAAGTAGTATATACACGGAATACTAGATGGCAATGAAATGCAAAAACGTTTTTAAGGCGTAAAAAGCTCACCTTTCCTACTCCAATATTCCCTTCTACCACGATTAGCTTGGAGTTTTGATGAAAACGAGCCTGCGTTCGGTCGCCGAGGGCATCAATGTAATTATAACCTCTTTCCTTGTATGGCCACGGATCAGGATAGTCTGGCGGTAGTCTAAAATAATCTACTGATACTCAGTTCATCTTGGTTCATCTTCGAAGTTACGTAAATCAAAAAAAGCTGAGTATAACTCATTCTAAAAATTATTACCTCAGCACGCTTTTATGTACGATGGTCCTGATTTGCGACGCATTTCCTGGGTTACCAGCAGCCAAAATTCGGCAGGCTGCTCGACCCAGGAACACAACCGACGACTTCATCGCCGCCCTAAATCATTTTTGCGACTTCAATGGCAAAAAAGAATGTTGTTGATGTTATGAATACGCCAGTTATGAACTTCTCAATTCTTAGCCTATAAATCCTATTAAGCGTATCTAAGTTGGTGTTTAACTTAACGTTTCCATCAAAACGTCCAACAAACATAAGCGAAAGAAATATAACGGTAACGATAGTTCTGAAACCGCAACCTTCTTCTACAAAGCGCTATTCTTGAAAAATGAGAGAGGGCACGCATATCCGTTCACAACTAATTCAAAAGAGCAGAATATTCACTGACGGAAAGACTCAAAGTAGCAAGTTGGGAAAATTACGAATAGAAGGTCCTTTTTTTTGAAAGTTCAAATGAAATAACTTTGAATATCCGCAATAAGGATTTTGGGTGACTGAAACCCTTGCTGCTTACTAACAAGCTGTAGCGATAATCGGTTGGCCAGAATCGCAGTAAACAAACTGAAGATGCCTGACTTTGCAGCCTGATTTTTGAGCCAAAGTACGCATTAGCAAAAGAAATGCCTTAGACGTGATATCTACGCTAGGATAGACTCTCTAATGCGATATTTGCCAATCATCAAAAGATATAACCACTGATTTTCCTGCGCTTAATGAGCTGACTTTAACGAGATATAATGTCTCTGAATATGTAAGAACTAGCGAATTTTGTTCACGGCCTCAGAAGGTTTCTGATTATGTAGGAACTAGCGAGCTTTGTTCCATTGCGAGCGTTCAGTAA